GGGATTACATAGGGGTTATATTCCCGTATTCCCTACTAAGAACCTGTAAGTATATTGTCCCCCTTAAGTAGGTAGACATAGGGTATATGGGGATCTTATTATAACATACCCAAAGCAATATTCTATCTACTCAAGGGCAACTAGACCCTAAACCCTAAACCCCCCTAAATAGTAGGTTCCATTATCCTTTTCTAACCCAATATGACCCTAATATTCCATCTACTTAAGGGGGAATATAAACCCCAAACCCTTTCCATTATCCCTACATAACCCCTATAATTCTATCTACTTAAGGGGGACCCCTAAACCCAAAACCCCTAAAACCCTAAACTGCCATGCAGGCGCCCCCAAAGGTCCCAGACAACCCGGACGGCAGCCTGGAGGCCGATCTCCTTGCGGAGGCTCCCAGCTCCCAGCTCTTTCAAGGGGTTTGCAAGAGCAGATGGGGGTATATATTGGGGTTATATTGGGATTATATTGGGGTTATATTACCCCAATAATGGAGACAAATGGAAAAGCAAATGGAAAATGAAATGGAAACTGGGATTATATAGGAGTTATATTGGGGTTATATTGGGATAATGGAAAATGAAATAGAAACTACAAGGATTATAGGGATTATACTATAAGGATTATTATGGGGGTTTCCCAAAATTATGGGGGTTGTTCTAAAGGTCCTTGTAAAGGAGGGACCATTGGGAATACACTTCCTTAAAAGGGGATCCTAACCAAACAGGGAACCTAAGTTGTGGCCATTTTGGGAACAGGTATTTTGAACAACTACCATATGGGGGTTTCCTAAAATTAGGGGTATCATTTTGGGCTCCCCATAATAAGGATGATAACATATTGGGGTCTATATTGGGGTCCCCCTATGTTGGGAGGTTACCATATTATGAGCTATAGGCTAAACTCCTTAAAGGGGGATTATATAGCGCACTACTATAAGGGATATTCAATGAATACTAGGAGTTTAGACTATAGCTCGTATGAGCTATAGGCTAAAGTCCCTACAGGGGGGTTATATAGGGGAGTGAAGAATTATGGGGGTTGTGAAGGGAGATCCTAGGAGTTTAGATTATAGCTCACATGAAATCATGTGAAACCATGAGCCATCGCCCCTGGCCCTGGGATATGGATTCATACCACTCCAGCGATTGTTTGTGATATTTGGCTGCTGCTGCCCAGCCGGCCTATCCACGGCTAGTCTTTGGAAATACTTTCACTCACACCTTGGCACCATGATCAAATCCGTGCATCAATCCTTCTGAAAGAGCGGCTCATGCAAGTTCAACCATAGTTATGACTGTTGTAGTCTCATGTAGTCTGCAGACAGAATATCCGATCTTGGCCGATCTTTATACATTGATGAACCTCCATACACTGTTTGAGAGGAGCCGCTGCCCGAGGGCCCGGGCTACTTGGCCGTGTCAGTGCCAAGCGAGGCCACGCCGCGGATACGGGAGCCCGGGGCTCAGAATGAGACAATGCGCTGTGGCTTGAACTGCGGGGTAGATAGCCAATCTTTTCAGACTTCTGGGCCCTCGTGGGTATCCTATGTTATGCGGGCCGGCAATTGTCTTTCGTAAAACATGGGCTCGCAATTTGGGAAACAGCCAACATACCTAACGCAGGCGCCTGGATCTCACTGGGCCCATGCTTCAATGAAACATTAGGCAAATCTCCTGCCCTGTAGTTTGATAATTTGGGTCTTCTGCTGCGTGCGCGTGGGTTCTGTCAGAGCTCCTACCCTGCTAGAAGAAGACCCTTTTTCGGGACCTTGGTAAAGCCCATGGCAGGCGGCTGGGTCACCTGAGGGCCGTCGCAGAGGCCTGTAGATGACGGAAGTCCTAACCTAGACCCCTGATTAATGAACCCCCTCCCTTTAAAGGCCCTTAAAAGGAAGGGTTTATTAATCATGGGTCTACATCAGGTGTCAGGAGGCTGACCAATAATGTGCCTGACATACATATTTGGGGCTTTCCCAAACTTAGGGGTACCCTTTTGGGGGTCCCCATAACAAGGACTACAGTATTTTGGAGGCCTATATTGGGGTCCCCGTGTTTTGTGAAACTACCACATATGCGTTGTCCAGGTGGAGGCAGAGGTTTTCGATGCCAACAAGGAACATACGGAGTGGGAGAAAGAGGCCAGAGACCTAATCGTGGCTTTTACATCCATGATCCAGCTAGGCACATTGAATTCATTTTGGTGTGAAAGTTTGGAACGGGTTGAGTCGAGATGATGGGTCGTTGGAAGCCACCCATTACTCCTGACTACCACTGCCAAGAAGCACCAAACCCAACAGTGAGGTCCCGCGGTACCTTGACATTGTCTCGCCAAACGGGCAGCGCACGTGCTTGAAGCCCAGGATGCATCAAGGCCTTGAGCTGAGTTAATTTCACGCTGATAAGGTACGGGCAGATACAGACGACTTGCCAAGAAAATGGTGAACAGCCAGCCCATCTGGAAGAAGGCTGCAATTGCTTGTCTGTATACTTCTAGCCAGGGCGCTATTATGCAGGTGCAGTGTGCAGCAGCCACACATTGCCATCCAAGAGTGGTTGAGCTGTTAGAGTGCCAGGTTGATGCCAATCGCTGGGTCTACAGTGGCACTGACAGTGCGCAGCCCGGAACCGCAGTAGGAACCACTACAGAATTCACGAAAGCTAGCTTCTGGCAGCTTGCGGGAGTTTCTATTCACCATCTTTGTTTCGCTTGCCGAACTTAGCCTTAGAGACCTCTTGATGGGGGATAGACCTGACCTGAAGTGCTTGAGATATAATCAAGCCGCTAACCGAACTTTTATGGCGGTCCTCTGCTTTCATCTGAAGGTTACTCAGTTTTCATGCAAAACTTGTTGAAGCACATCCGACGCAATCAGTGGGAGGGAGTCCTTACGGTGTGCGGTGCTTGAAACCATCAGCTGCAGTTGAACTACTGTGCCCAGAGGTGCAACACCAGGAAGCCCCGGTGTTTGCGACAGACACAAACACCATGCAGTGGCTTTCGTGCGCCATGCTCTCAAGTGGCTCATTCTCCCTCCCAGGCACATGGCTTGTGGGAGGAGTCAAGCAGCGCGACATGGACTTCATGTGCCGCGACTGGGCTGCCCTATTCACTTGCCGTTCCTGACACGCACACAGCAAAAACACTTGTTTGCAAACACAGCCTGCTCATGCTGATGCCTGAAGCCCATGACATGTTCGCACTTTGATCAGCATCCATCTCCCAGGCTCGGGCCTGCTGCATCAAGCAAAACTCCATGGTGGACAGTTGCCACACAGGCAAAATGCTTGTTTCGGAAGATATGCAGTACCAGCCTGCTTGAAGTCTTGAGGGCGCAGGGGTTTCGGACCTGCGACTGGGAAGCCTGCATGTTGTCCCCGTCAACCGTCAACTCAAGGGGTTGCTCAAATCCCAAGACTTGTCTCGTTGGGAACGATTACTGGGAATCACCACGGTTGGCAAGGCTTGATCCGGGTGGCAGCGGCCTCGCTGTCCAGTTTGAGTAGGGATCTTCTTAGTGCCCAGGCACTAAGAGCTTTCATTACTTTGTCCCATGGCTGTCTGCAGCAGGACGGATGCCAGCAGTTGGGGTCCCTGCCAACTTTTTCGGCGTGACATGGCTGCCCAGGCTGGCGTCGTGTGGATGGCAGTGGCTGGGTGGAGGCGAGAAGGGTGGCAAAGACTTGCTGATCCAGGAGTAATGAAAATAACCCCAGACTGAAGGAGACAGCCGTGTTTCTATGGCACAAAGAGGAAAGTTATGGATTGACTATTTCAGGCAGTGTGAACCAGCTGCGACTAGGACCCAGACATCTCTGTCAGCGCCTCACCAGTGATGCAGCCAGGCGAGGGAAGTTTTTGTGTAGGAAAGACACGTCAGTTGTTGGCCTGTGAGCGTTGTAGAGGAGTATCTGGTGGTTTCTGGGACGTTGCGTGCTGCAAGCGCTGCGAGGCGCTCCTGTTGTGGTGGTGGCAGGGCTGCGCCAAGGCCGCTTTGGTCTCTTGGTGAGCAGGACTGATGCAGCTGTGCATTCAAGCTTCAGTTTCAGAAGAGCTGTGGCCTGCATCCTCTGTCAGTCTAGCAGTCCTAGAAACATGAGAGAACGCCGAGCACGAAGCAGCTTAGTGAACCGGCCGCCTAGTGTTGCTTCACGCATGCAAAAACTTGGTGTGCAGGAGGGAGGAAGAGGGCGCAGTCTTTTGGACCACGCGCTTTTCAGATGGCGAGGACTGGGATGACCAGCCCCGCTTATATCTACGTGATGGACTGGAAGTTCACGCAGATGTTTGTGCTCCATAGGCCAAGGCCTTTCCCGAGCTTCACAGGAAGAGCTACAGGATGAGCAGCTGGAAGTTCGGGAGTTGCAATCGGGAGAGGTGAGGTTTGGGTCTGGGCAGAATTGCTTCATCGTTTTGGCTTCGACTGGGGATCTGCCAATGTTCAGCTTGTCCCCTGGCCTGGGTACATGCCCGTTCCAATAGCTGCACACACCAGGTGTGGCTCTCAACCTCTGAGGGCGCAGCAACTCCGGTGGCCGCATTGGCTGCGGAGGCCCTGGCCTGGACCCTGCTTGGCAAGCCGATGCAGGGCTTCGCCGAGGCCTGGTAGGAGATGAAACAGCCGGTAATAACCCCAATACTAGTCCCCTATATAGGGTTTAGGGTTTAGGGTTATCCCCCTTAATAAACCCTTATAATGGAGAATCAAATGGAAAATAAAATGGAAAATGACATGGAAACTGGGATTGTATAGTTAACAATCGTTGGACCTGCAAGGTTGGACATGCTGCAACAAGCGTTCTTCTTCCAGAGGAGCTTCTGAATAAAGCGGCGGTCCACGAGCTTTGCAGGCTCATGGATAGACACCAGGTGGGCGTCTTCAAAAATCATGGAGGAATTCCCTGCCCATAGACTTTTCTTTCTCACAGGGTTTTGCCTAGGAAGGGCATCCCAGCAAGGAGAGCTCAGGGCTCATTAAAGGAAGCGACCAGGTCATCTTCGGCTTCCTCAGATCCAACAAGGAGGAACCCAGCTCCTGGCTCCAGCTGGTGGTCATCGGCAAGAATCCTAAGCCACTGGGTCGTCATGGTAGTTTCAGCTACCATGGAAACTGGACAGTCATGCTTTCTTGCTGTTCTACTACTGCTCCTACTCGCCGCTGCTGCTGCTGCTGCTGCTGCTGCTGCTGGTGGTGGTGGTGGTGGTGGTGGTGGTGGTGGTGGTGGTTCTCTCATCATATTCAGGGCCCAAACCCTGCACTCTAAACCCCTCGTCCCTGGACCCTCAACCCCAGAAGCCTAAACCCCTAAGGCTTTAAACTAAAACTCTTAAACCTCAGGCCTGGCATCTTGGCTCTCCTGAAGCTCACCGAGGAGCTGCTTCCAGGTTGCCTGGAGCGTGTGCCACAGGCGAGGATGCGATGAACAGAGAAGTCTGTAGCGCTAGTCGTACATTGGGTTGTGTATACCGCTTTGAGAGGTTCACGAGGGCTTAGACGGTTTGGTTATGATGTAGGGTTCTCCGGAGACTGTACGAGCCAGATTTTCAGTGTGTTTTTTTGCCGGGCTTATCACAGCGATTTCAACTCATCTGTGAGAACGCCAAACAACAGGGCTGACAGCAGGCATGGATTCTATGGAAGTATTACATGCTGACGAGACATTTTCGTGTGGCACGCACACTCACACGTAAAACTTAGTCTTACATCAAGCTCAAATGGAATCGGGAAAGCACAGCATGAAACCTAATTTTGACAAGTGAGTCGATCTGACCACTTATGTTACGAGGAAGCAACCTACCTGAGAGCCTCTTTGACCGACCCTACTAACACAGACATCAAAAAGAAGCTATTAAACGACTCAGAGAAGCCACCGCCGTGGCAAAGTAGTGCAGGCATTTTTGGTCCTGTACCACAGCAACATGAAACTACCGCTCTCAAATTCCGTCGTTTTTAGCAAGCTGACGCTAGCTCTGAAAATAGTTCAACTCACACAACGTGAGCAAGATCATCTAGATGCGCTTCATACCAAAGTGCTCCGACCACACACCTAATTCGACAAAAGTTGGATCAACCACAGAATTCTCAATGCCTTGTCACAGGTGTATCCCAAGTTTGCTTACCAAACGGAAATAATGAACATGTACATTGTTACGTACATCCGGAGAAGTTCCCCAAGTGCGCTCTATGCGCGAAGTCCTCCTTGAGCAGGGAGCAAATGTACCAAGGAGCACACCACGAGGGTCGGAAAGCCGAGAGAAAACTGGCTGCAAGAACCTTGCAGTGCAGCATATACCCTTATCCACCCGGGTCTCCACGTGAACATCAGACTGGTATGGGGAACAGGGCTGGCGGTGCCCAGCCCCCTTTCAAGACAAAACCCGTGCATAGAAGAGCCTGAAGTGTCACTCGTAACCAGCGCTTCCAGATCAACCAACAAAAACCTCTCCAATCATGACCTCGAAGCTGTCCTAACAGAACTTGGCCCTCCGGCCAAGCATGAGACGGCACAGGAGGGCCACTTGTTTTAATTGGGTACAGTACTTTCTTCTACGCCCCTAGAGCAGATGTCTCATTAGTCGTCTTCAGGGGTCGTCATCCACTTGGTATTGCCGGCCAACTATCCTGCCATAGTAAGTACAAGGGAACGATGGGTATGAAGAATTGCTTGCACGGCACTGAGAGAGATCCAAGTTTAGGCCCAGATGAATGGATGTTCTTGAGTCTGAATTATCTGATTCCTTGATTCAAGTACGCTCGCTGTTCCTAGCACATTTGGTTATTCTCAAAATTATGGGCTCCCGCTGGCCATAGGTATATTACGGCACCTTGTATTTAGGGGTACCAAAATGGGACCTTTGTTTTGGAATCCCCCCACATGCAGCCGCCAAAATGGTTGCAGAGGAAGATGCCTGCTCAAGCAATGGCAGCTTGGGTGCCTCAAGGATTCGCTGCTCAGAGTCTTGGCTCCTCTTTGGATCCTCTAAGCAATCAGTTGTCTTGGGATTCTGTGTAGTCCCACCACCGCTCGAACATGAACGCTGGAAGCCCTAAAGAACTCCAAAACTGCAAAATATGGTCTACAGACTCTCTATGCTGTTAACAGAGGACGGGAAACCACCAGCAGCAGCTGTCACAGTAGATTATAGTATATTACAGTATACTGTGGTATATTATGGCATATTATTTATAATACTATGGTATATTATGGCATATTATGTATGGTAGCAGCGGTAGTGGTGGTGGTGGCGGCGGCCCAGGAGATCTATGGAGGCGAAGCAGCCTTGTCCCGCCATTTGCAGACCATCTCGAGCTGCTTGGAGGCGGGAAGCGTTGGTGTCTAGGGTTAAAAATATTAAACAGTTGGGGAAAAATGTTTTCCCCCATTGTTTAATATTTTTCCCCAAGAGGTTCAGGGGTTTATGGGAGAATCTTGGTTCTTGCGCGGGGTGTTTAGGGTTGCTATGATTTTTTGTCATGGCTCCAAAGAAGGATGGTTGTTCTTGTGATGATTGAGTATGAGCCATGGGACCCTACACAAAGGGATTATGGGGTCCCAAAATACTGGGTTGCTGTTAAGGAACTTAAATTAAGTTACCATAATGGGTATATATAGTAAATAATAGGATTTCTCCAATATAGTAANNCCTTAACAGCAACCCAGAATAATGAATGGTCGGAATATGCAATTTTGAGAAGCTCAGGTCTTACAGAACGGTCTGAACCTGGGTCGAAACCACGACCCGGCCCCTGAGCCCAGGAGGAAAAAGGTTCCACAAAAAGCAAAAACAACTGAAACCTTTAAGCCCCAAAGTCTAATTCCCCACCTAGATGTTTGGGTTTTGGGTGTGGGTTTTGCTTGGGGTACATGACAACTGAACCCTTTAAGCCCTAAAGTCCACGCCCAGGTGTCGGGAGATTCGCCAGAGGTCCTCGCAGCTCCAGTTGGCTTGGTTAGTGTCGGACTCAGCTTGACAGGTCTGCAGACTTTCGCAAATGTTAGAGGTTCAGGTTTAGGGATTACAAGGAAGGTTTCAAGTTTCAAGTCTTTCCGTTGTTAAGGAACACAGCTGTTTGGGGCTCTTATTAACCGGCTTTTTCCTAATCCGCTTTTTAACTAACAATCCAAGAACCAGCAAATGGGTCTTTGTCCAGCTTAAGCCTGACAAAAGCCCCTCCACTCTGTCTTCTCATGCTGGTCTATTCGCTTCTGAATTAAGCAGCTGTGGCCTCCATATATGAGGTATTCTCAAAAGTCTACAACATGGCTTTCAACTGAGTTAGCTTGTATGTCTACTCTGTTTCACCTAACTGTGGAAAGATGCCTTCCTTCTTGTGTCAAGTGATCACTTGCGTTGAATTCTTTTTCTTGCCCAACTTGCCACTGCCCAATTTTTTGTTGGATGATTCGATGCTTTCACTGGCTTCGCGCGCCATACCGAAGAGAGTTACCAGTGCACCACTTGGTTGTTGTCTGCAATGCTAGTGCCATCCCATCATAATACCGTTCAGCTTTTCCAAACCTGTGTCCTCTTGTTGTCACTGTGATCTTTGCACTTTTAATTAGGGTTCAGTCAAGGGTCATCATGACTCCTTGCTCCTATTCCTTGGATTTTGCCTCTTCGCCTAGCGAACCGCTCGTGTTTTGTAGGCTTCTGTTTCCCTCACCTAGCTCCAGAACTGTGTAGCAGTCCTTCAGCTCCGTCGTTTCCTTCTAGCCTCAAGAGAGTAGTGTTGAGTCTTCGGATAAACTTGTTTGTCAGATTATCAACTCTGCTTCGTGATGCTTCGCGTGCGCGGCCTGGAGAGGTTTAATTGTGGGCACGAATCCAGCGCGGAAAGTTGCCCGGAAATTCCTCGAGATGGTGCGCAGCCGGGTTTGCTTGCTGCGCAGAGGGAGCTTCTTGTTCAATTCGTGATTCGTCTGCTGGAGCACAAGTACTTGCTTCAAATCCCAGGTACGGATGTGGTCGCCAGAGGCCAGGCGCTTGCATGCACTGCCATGACAACCCAGCAAGCCTTCTCGAAGCAGATTCCTGCAGTTATGTTGAGCATTTTAAGGCTCAGCACATACATTGGAGCATTCACGTTCCGACGGGAGCAGTCACAGCCAAGGTAGTCTGCTAACCTGGTTCGTTCGAGCATTCTATCCTTAACCAGCTTCTTTAAGGTGCCACGCGAGCTAGAAGCTTTCTCAGCTGCGGGCCGAGGATGAGGGATGGACAGGAGAAGCTTGGCTCTTGCGATCTGTTGCGAAGATATCTGAGTGGTCACCTTGCGCCTCGAAGCTGTTCGCGCGAGCACAGCCCCTGAGGCCAGCATCCGAGTGCCGGATGCAGCTCAGAAGGCAGAACAACAACAGCGGACATGCTTGGCTAATCCATTTGCACGCGGAGCTGCTAAATCAGCAAAAGCTAGGACAGCCAGGACATCGAGGTAGATGCTTCGGATTCTGAAGTTAATCCGTCCGGATGATAAACTAGCGACCTTTCTATGCCAGGCGGTCGAGCAAGCTCTGAAGGAAATAGAACCTGAGCTCCATGTGCTGGAAGCCCAGCTGTATCATGCTGTATCAACTCAGGAATACCAGCCTTGGGTGAGTTTGCAAGGTCGGCCATCTGGTGTACCCAGACGGACGTCCAGACAGACAGTCAGAAGCTAAAAGTGGAAGACTCAGAAAGCTCATCAGCTGTGAGCACTTCATTTTCAGCTGTGAAGCGGATTTATAGGGCCATTGACATGTTTGCCAGGCCGAGCTGGAGATGGACGAGGCATGTTTGCCTTCCACTGTAAGACATCGCACAACTTGCCTTGATCCCAAGCAGGGTATATTCCGAAGTGCCTGCGAGCTATTGACAGTGGGGTCGCAGCAAGCTTCCAAGCTGGGCATGGACATCACACTACGCGGAAGATTCTTTCAACTGTGCAGGAGGTTCAGCCCGGAGCTGAAGTCCTTGCCGTGTTCGAGGACGGTGACTGGCAAACTGCTTAAAAAGCCAACGGTCAGAACATGAGCATGTGTCTCCAGCACTCGCAGTAGAGGGGCAGCATGTAACACAGCAGCTGTGTGCTGCCAAGGTACGATGCTACAGTGACTGATGTCGATCCTCTCGGGGACAAGGTGCAGCTAAAGATTCCCTGACATTGTGAACTGACTACCTTGCAATGTCGGCATCGTTTAAAGAATAATCTGTTGTTTTTGCACACGGGGCCTTCATGCAAGAACGGTTGGGTAGCCGTTCTGAATTGCTCGAGACTTTCTTGAGCCACTTCTAGAACGAGAAGACTCCGGAAGCACCTGGGATGTGCGAGTTCTTCGTAGAGATTGCCCTTCCTCCTGTAGTCATTGTAGTCCCCAGTTGGATGGAATCGAAGCAGGTAGAAGTTCGCTGGATGTGCGACTCCAGCTTG